TCTCTTTTTGTTAATGCCTTACTAGAGGGAAAAACCTTAACTTGACAACGGCAAGGCCTCGAGTATCTTGTAGGTCCTCTTTAGCATATGAAAGTTCTTTTGAAAACCTCCCTTTTCCCTACCCCCAGTTCCCCAGTATATAGTCAGCCCCAGGGCAGCAGCTCTTTCTGCCCACGGGTCCTGTCCCCGAGCTTTAATAAAACCACCATTTTGCACCAAAGACGTCTCAAGAATTCTTTCTTGGTTGTCGGCTCCGGACCTCACCCCACCAAACCTCACCTATATTCCAAAACTACATCAGGCTCTGACAATGAACCTGACTTTATCATAAAATGCTTGATTCAAGCAGAATGCTATAGACATTTCTTTGCCAAGTTCATGTGAATTCAGGAGGTCTGGCCTGTATGCAAAGACAGAGCAGTATGATAATGCATTGCTTGTTATTTTTCACTCCATTTTTTAATGTGGTCTTCCATTCAGAGCAAGGACACTATGGTGGGGTAACACATCCATGTTTAACTGGACAGAGTTCAACTATTCATACTTTGAAAAGAAGGGGAGAGAGAGATTAATATTTTAAATAATACAGGTGACCCTATCTTCTCTCCCATTCATTGAGCCCACGTCCAGCAGTAAACATTAAAGAGGAGATGTTTCTGCAGATATATTTATATGTATCCATTGCTATGCAGGTCTGTGCACACAAAACAAGGCATACTGTATTTTATGTGTGAGATATTTATGAATAATAGAGACTCTATGATTATCACTTAGGCCAGGACTCTAGAATCTAAGCTTTAAACAAGGTGAGACTTCACTGTACTGTTTTAGAAGAGGAAGATGTTTTCTTTTTTTCTAATAGGAAAAAAAAAAGCTTGATTTGAGCCATCCACACACCCTCAGGGGTCCCCCTTTAACCAGGGACTGTTGGCTGGGATTCAGAGCTCAGTGTTGGTCATGAGACAAAATTAGATAACTAAATGAGCATATTTATTTGATTGATACAATTTGCCATCAACTTGATGTAAAGCTGCAGGAAATGTAAGCCGGGTTATGAAACCAAGAATCTCCTTTTATGCAACTAACATTTCTAAGTACCTGCTGTCCACAAGGCAGTGGGTTAGAAGCCATAAGGAAATAAACCCTAATGTTTTTACAAACTGTGTAGTTCATAAAATCTTGTAAAAGAGAAAGATAAATACACACTGAATTAGAATACAGGGGAGGCTGTAAACCGTCCTATAATAAATGTGATCAGGTAACATTGTGAACTGGAGTATAATTTTAAAATGCAATTTCCTTTCAATTATTCACGAATAGATTGGGCTTTGAAAGTTCTTTCTTGCAATAGTCTTGGCCTTTAATTGTTCTCATTAGGCTACCACTCAATTGTATTTGTATTCTATGTGATAGCTACCACCTTTTGGCCTATTCCATAATAATTACCCCTTCCTGCTGGCTAACAGAACTAAAATTTGGTTTAGGGATTTGCCTTTCCCAACCTCCCCAAACCCTCACTTTTCCAATCTCCTAGGCTCCTGGGGGCTCATGTGGCCTAATTCTGTCCAATGAGAAACAAGCAGAAGTCTATGGGAATTCTAGGAATGTTTTGCTTTCTTTATAATTTTTTTTTTAAAGATTTTATTTATTTATCTGACAGATAGAGAGAGAGAACAAGTAGGCAGAGAGACAGGCAGAGGGAGAGGGAGAAGCAGGCTCCCCGCTGAGCAGGGAGCCCGATGCGGGGCTCGAACCCAGGACCCTGGGATCATGACCTGAGCCGAAGGCAGCCGCTTAACCAGCTGAGTCACCCAGGCGCCCCAGTTTTGCTTTCTTTAAAAGAGACATATGTTGAGGGGCGCCTGGGTGGCTCAGTTGGTTAAGCCACTGCCTTTGGCTCAGGTCATGATCCCAGGATCCTGGGATCGAGTCCAGCATCGGGCTCCTTGCTCAGCAGGAAGCCTGTTTCTCCCTCTGCCTGCCCCTCCCCCTGCTTCTGTTCTCTCTCTCTCCCTCTCTCTCTGACAAATAAATGAATAAAATCTTTTAAAAAAAAGAGAGAGAGAGAGAGACTTATGTTGAAGCCCCGATGTGACTACATTTGGAGATTAGGCCTTTAAGGAGGTAATTAAGGTTAAGTGAGATCATAAGGGTGGGGCCATAACCCATAGGACTGTGTTTTGTTTTGTTTTTAAGATTTTATTTATTTATTTGAGAGAGAGAAAGAGCACACAAGCAGGGGCAGAGGAAGATGGAGAAGCAGACTCCCAGGGAGTCTGATGAGGGACTCAATCCCAGGACCCCAGGATCATGACTTGAGCCAAGGGCAGACGCTTAATCAACTGAGTCACCCAGGTGCCCCAGGACTGGTGTCTTTATAAGTGGAGGAAGAGTCATGAGGAACATGTGTACTGAGGAAAGGCCACGTGAGGTCAGAGTGAGGGGAAGGCCAGGTAAGGACCAAGAAGTGAAGTCTCACCAGAAACCAACCCTGCAGTCCCTTGATCTTGGACTTCCAGCCTTCAAAAGTGTGAGAACATAATTTCTGTTGTTTAAGCCCCCAGGCTGTGGTATTCCGTTATGGCAGCCCAAGCAGATGACATGGGACCCAAGGGCACTGAAGTTCAGGGTATGTATGAGATGAACTATAGCCTCTGCCATCTCTCCCTGCTGGAGTTACCCACCTTGTCCATACCTCTATGTTCATCTACTTCATAAACTCTTACTTTGATCACTTTGTGGGTAGAGTCCCTGACCAAGTTGTTTGCCTGCAATTTAGAAGAAAGGGGGTCTTCTCCCCAAGAAGTGGATGGAAAGTTTCCAAGCAACTTTGATTTCCAAAGGGAGAAAGGGGGAAGGGAATTTTGAAGTTGGAACAGAAAAGGGCAGGCTCCTTTGTTTTTCCCAGAAATATTTATTTTGAGCACATATGATATGCCAGGCTGTGCTGAAGGTATAAGGGATGCAGTGAGTAAAACAGACCTGGCCTCTGCCCCTAGGAACATGTTGGGAAATTGTTCAGAGCAAAGAAAATGTGGAGGGAGTAATGGGAAGTAAAGCTTGAAGAGTAGGATGGGAACAGATTATGGGGAGTCTTGAACCCTGTCTAGGAATTTGTTCTTTATCCAATAGGTGAATGGGGAGCCCCTGAAGGTGACTGAACAGGACAGTGCCCTGGTCATAGCTGTCTTTTAGTAATATGAATCTGAAAGCTGTGTGTTGATTCAATTGAAATAGGAAGAGATTAGAGACCGGAGAGACAGTAAAGGGAAAAATACTAAAGCTCAGACAAGATGTACTGAGAGTCTGAACCAAGGTAATATGAAAATTATACTATGTTTGCTGAGACCACCATACACTAATATCAACAGAAAACCTTAAGATATTTTCTCAGACTCATAGAAATATTACCATGTGTTAGCCTTTGAAAAGTTCCCTAAACACCGAACTCAATCTTTTTTTTATATACTTTTTTTTTTTTTTTAAGATTTTATTTATTTGACAGAGACACAGCGAGAGAGGGAACACAAGCAGGGGTAGTAGGAGAGGGAGAAGCAGGCCTCCCGCGGGAGCAGGGAGCCCGATACGGGGCTCGATCCCAGGACCCTGGGATCATGACCTGAGCCGAAGGCAGACGCCCAACGACTGAGCCACCCAGGCGCCCCCCAAACTCAATCTTCTAATATTAGAGGCAACAAAGGAGAGACTGGCCAGGACTAACACTGACATGAGCTGGGAAAGGGTGGCCACATTGCCCAAAGTACTTTAGAGCAATAAAACTCTCAATGTGTCAGGTTCAAAAGCCAAAAAATCTCCCACTGTTGTAATTAATTTCAGCAAATGATGATAAAGGAGAAGGGATTTAAGTTGGAAGACTGCAGGTCGAATCTCTATTCTGAGACCCTCTAGCTGCAGACAGGGTGGTCAAGGGGCCACAGACGGATGGGCTGGACTCCGGCTCCTCCATCTTCCCTAAAGCAAAGAAGAACTACTCTCCTGGCTGGGCAGCCCCCTTCTTCCAGAGTTCACCATTCAGATTTTGGTGCAAATGACCAATATTGACCCAACGGCTGCCATGAGCAGGCACTGCTCTTGGCTGTGGAAACATAAACTGAGCAAAATGTAAGATCCTGCTTCTCATGGGAGCTATCTGGCCATGAACAGACACAGAACATATCAAAACATAAAATAAATATATTGGCTGGGCCATAAAGATATCAAATAAGGTGGACTGATAGAGCACCCCACCAACTAGATATGAAAACACTCCCAGGCCAGGATCATGTTGTATTCTGATGTATAACCTCCCTTCCCAGGGTCCTAGAATAGTCCTGACTGGTGCTCTATAAATGCATATTGAGCATTGCTAGCATTGCTCTAGATGAATGACCCAACAGCAACCAAAGGACAGCAAAAGCCCCAAGAATTGAAGAGAGCCCCTCATTTCAAACCAGGAAGTTGAGGAAATGCCAACTCATTATATATATAAACTAAGAAATCTCTAGGACATGTGGGGCTTTTTTTCCCCCTTAGGACACTTGCCACAGAATCATCCGGGATACTTATTAAAAATGCAGACTTCCGGGCCCCATCTCAAACCCAATAAATCAAAATAACAAGAGGAGAGGCCGGGAAGCTGCATTTTTAACAAGCTCCTAAGTAATGCTGATGCTACGTTACCGATCTAAAAAAAAAAAGAAAGAAAGAAAGAAAAAGTAAAATGCACAAGGGCCCCTTTTCATTGCAGTTGTAAATGTCTCCACAAACCATTCTTCAGAAAGCTCTTATGTATGAACTTCCTTTGCAAAACCTCCAGAACCCAGTCACAAGCTGATTTGTTTAGGGAAATGCACTGAAAGACAGAGCCCGCGTGATGGGAGCCTTCCATCAACAGATCCATTCATTCAAAAACTCTGACGTGTATGGACACTAGATGGCTTCAGTGGAAGTGCCTCCCTGTCTGGGGAGCTTAAGGTGAGACTTTCTGGAATATTCCCTACCTGTGAAGAGGGCATGGTAGTGGAGGCCCCTCTCCTTATCCTCATGGGAGCAGACATCAAATAAGTAGGCTTTAATGGGCCCATCAATGAAGTCAGCAGCAAAATCAAAGACAACTACACCTATCATCGTGATGGTTATGGCCCAAATCCGTTTCCTTCTTGGATCAGCAATCAAAGCTAAAAAGGAAATCAATATACATCATCTAAATCCCGCTTTAGAATGATTTGCATTTTTATTTCCATCAAAATGTCCTGTCATTAAATTTCTCCCTTTGCTTTCATTTTGCTTTGCTTTTCCAAATAAAAATGGCTTCATTATTTTTTCAGGTTTTAAAAATTATACACGTGAATGACAGAAAAGGTAGATCTATAGAGACAGAAAGTAGATTGAAGGGTTGCTTGGGCCTGGTAGGGAGGAGGGAATGGGGGATGACTGCTAATGGTTACTAGGTTTCTTTTTGGGGTGATAAAATATGGTGGAATTAGATAGTGGTGATGGTTGCACTACCTTGGGATATGCTAAAAGGCACTGAGTTGTATGAATTTGTATCACATCTCATTTTAAAAAGTTGTTTAAAAAATTATACACCATTGTAAACCATTCCAAGAATGTAGAAAAGCTGGGAAAATGCTTCATCCCAGCCCCCACCAATGGTCATTCTTCAGATACCCCTTTCTGTACGTACGCACTAACAGAAAAAGGTGTATACCTGTGCCCTAATGCAGTGCTTCTCAAACCTCAGCATCCTTAATCATCCCTTGGACAACTTGTTGAAACAGATTTACTGGGCTCTGTCTCCATAATTCTCCATGATTCTCCCACGAGTCTCTAGGAGTTCTGAGGTGGGGTTGGGCATTTGTCTCTCTAACAGCCCCCAGGGATGATGATGCCCTGGCTCTGAGGACGACGCTTGGAGGAGCACTAACTAATGGGATCAGGTTGGAACTGCTCATCTATAACCAGCTCTCCTCATTTCTTTGCATTTCAATTAATGGAGATCTGCTGCATAATTTTTAACAGCTGAATAATATTCACTCTGTGGACATGCCCGAATTCATTCACCCAATCTCCCATTAGAGAAAAAAGAATCTTTTCCCTTGCTTTCAGTTTCACTTAAGAATAATGTGCAATATATGCACATTTTTAAAGATTACTGCATAACAATAAGTGAAAAATAAGCCTACACTCCACTTTTTACTTCCAAAGTCCTTTAGTAGTCCCCCCTAGAGGCAACTATTCTTATCAGGGGGTTTTGTGATTATATTGCAGAAATAACCTACATTTGTGTGTTGATGCCCTCTTTTAAATACATACAAATGATAGCTGATTATCCTGCCTCATTATCATCCATTCTGCTAGCCTGAGAGTTAATGGTCCAGAAATGGGTGCTATTTTTGAGTTTAACAATTCTTTTTTCAATGAAACTTTTCATGTACTACCACCAGTTACTGATTAATTGGTGGCTGATTAATGTCAAGAAAAAGTGTTCACCATGAGGTTTGTTTTTGTCCAGAATTTGCAGTGCAAAAATGTCCCCTTGAGCTGACAGGCTGATGTCCTCCTCCCATTAAAAGACTCTATGTAATTCTATGAACAGAATTAGCTCTTATTTAGATATATAGGTAATTTATTATAAGTATTCATGGAATCATATGGCAAATGGTTAATTTGACAAAAATACTAACTAAAGCATAAGCTCAAAGAACACTGCAATTGATAAACATGTAAAAATATTTCATTTGATAAAAGAGATAAAAACTTATTCCTATTTTTAAATCCTCACAACAATAAAACAACAACAGCAATGCATCCTGATGTTTCTAAAAGTGAAGTGTCCCCAACCACGGAATTTGGGTCATTCCTAGGTGGAAGTTCATTGTAACCTAGGAGAGATAATCGGTTCTAATCAATTTCTAAGTAAGTGTCACATAAAGAAATCTGCCTTCTCCTCCTATTGAGTTGCATAATGGGCCCCTTTCCCCTGCCTGCCCACCTGTGCAGCCCACTGACCTGATACAACAGCGTCCCCGTTTAGGTACAGAGCCATGCCCGAGAGCATCAGGAGGCCCAGGGTGAGGATGTACGGTCTCCGCCGGCCCCACCTGGCCTGGCAGTGGTCGCTGGCTAATCCCACCACGGGCTGCAGCAGGAATCCCAGGGTGGGGCTGAGGAGCCACACCGTGCTGTACAGACTCTTGGGCAGCCCCACGCTGAGCAGGACCGGGGTCACGTAGGCGGCCTCCACCGCGTAGCAAAACTCCCGGCCAAGCATGGCCATGCTGTGCATGATGAGATTGCTCGTGGGTCTTTTGGGTGGCTCCACAGGGTCAAAGGGGTCATCCGCAGCTGGGGACTTACAGGTATGAATGCCAAGCTGCCCAATGTTGCCGCCCATGGCCACAGGGTGAGGAACCTGCCTGCAAGCTCACCAACTTCTATGTGGCCCTCAGGCTTCTGGCCCAAGCTGGATTTGACGTGGAACCCGGCTGAGCGGCCAACAGAGATGGTGAAGCTGGGGGAGGGGCTCAAATTCTTTCATGCCTCTAAGATCACAAGTTATGATGAGAGGGAAGGGGGTGGGGTCAGGCAAGCAAAAGAGATTAGCTGCTGTGAGCCCTCTGGCTCCTTACAATGTTTGTCTAAAGGAATCTTTCTTTGTACAGTCTCTTTCTCCCTCTCTGTCTCCGTCACACACACACTTAAACACACACTCTACTACCTACAATCACATACACAGCTTTGAGACGGTGGAGCGGTATGACGCAGGTGTTAAGTCAAAATATGAAGGCATCAGTATCTCCTTCTAAACTTTTTCTAGATAGAAATATTCTGTTTTCCTGAACACAAGTTTCTATACACGCACCTCAAGAGTCAATTAGACTTAAAACCGTGGGAGGTTGCATCCTTTCTCTAATCTCTAGCTGTCTCATAGCACTGTGATATTTCCCTTCGTTGCACTTAACACACTTTATAATTGGATGGTTCTGTGTTTATTCTTTTTTTTTTTAAGATTTTATTTATTTATTTGACTGAGAGAGACAGCAAGAGAGGGAACACAGCAGGGCAAGTGGGAGAGGGAGAAGCAGGCTTCCCGCTGAGCAGGGAGCCTGATGTGGGGCTCGATCCCGGGACCCTGGGGATCATGACCTGAGCTGAAGTCAGGCGCTTAACGACTGAGCCACCCAGGTGCCCCAGTTTTGTGTTTATTTTATTTCTCCTGTTAGTCTTTGATCCCTTTAAGAGCAGTGATCAGGTTTATTTCCGTCTTTATGGTATCCCCGGCATCTCACATGATCTCTGACACCTAGTAGGTCCTCAATAAATATTTGCTAAAGGAATTATTGAGTGAATAAAGTGTATACACTACATTTTGTAGTATCAATCAACTGCCTGTTTGCTCAGGTCCATTCCGGGCTCCTCCTCACATGTTCTATATCATAAGAGACTACATTTCCCAGGTTCCCTTGCCCTCTGGCTTCTAGCTAGGTTGGGCCAATGGAAGGCATTGGTGGGAAGACTGGGAGCCGGAGGGAAATCATGTTATTTTCTTCCTTCTCTTTCTCCTTCCTGAGCTGTCCATGGCAGTGGCTGCATTTCCACAGTGGGTCCAGCTTCCACCAGGCAACCTTAAATTCTGGGTCCTGCTAACACTGTCTTTCCCATTATCCCCTGCAGCCATACGAATGGCCCTGGCTTCCCTGTTGTGGTTCATATCTGGATTGCCTGCCTCACTGTCCCCTGGGCTTCTCAGCTCTTTTATCACCAATGAAATTCTCTATATTACATTTCCTGACTGATTGATATTTCACCCATCCCCACCTGCCTCCCCTCTGGCAACCACCAGTTTGTTCTCTGTATTTGAGTCTGTTTTTTTGTCTCCTTTTTTCTTTCCTTTGTTTCTTAAATCCCACATATGAGTGAAACCATGGCATTTATCTTTCTCTGACCTTTTCACTTAGCATTATACCCTTTAGGTCCATCCATGTGGTCATAAATGGTAAGAGTTCATCTTTTTTTATGAGGAATAGTCCATTGTATATATACACCACATCTTCTTATCCATTCATTATTGGTGGACAGTTGGGTTGCTTCCTTATCTTGGCTATTATAAATTTTGCTGCAAGAAACATAGGGATGCATGTATGTTTTCAAATTAGTGTTTTTTGTTTTCTTTGGGCAAATACCCAGTAGTGGAATTACTGGATCATAAGGTAATTTTATTTTTAATTTTTGGAGGAATCTCCATACTGTTTTCCCCAGTGGCTGCACCAGCTTATATTCCCACCAACAGTGCAGGAGGGTTCCTTTTTCTCCACATACTTGCCAACACTTGTTTTTTATTGTTTTTTTATTTTAGTCATTCTGACAACCATAAGGTGATTATCTCATTGTGGTTTTGATTTGTATTTCCTTGATGATTAGTAATGTTAAGGATCTTTTCATCTGTCTGTTGGCCATCTGTATGTCTTCTTTGGGAAAATGTCTATTCAGGTCCTCTGCCCATTTTTAATTGGATTGTTTGTTTTTTTGGTGTTGAGTTGTATAAATTCTTTACTTATTTTGGATATTAACCCCTTATCAGATATATCATTTGCAAATATCTTCTCCCATTCAATTGGTTGTCCTTTTGTTCTGTTGATGGTTTCCTTTGCTGTTGAAAAGCTTTTTATTTTGGTGTAGTTCTACTAGTTTAATTTTGCTTTTGTTTTCCTTGCCAGAGGAGACATATCTAGAAAAATGTTTCTACAGCCGATGTCAAAGAAATTACTACCCATGTTTTCTCCTAGGAATTTTATGGTTTCAGCTTTCACCACGTAGGTCTTTAATCCATTTTGAATTTATTTTTGTTTATGGTGTAAGAATAAATTTCCTCTGTTTTAAAGACTCTGCATGGGTCATATTTTCTTTGTTGGACCCTGAGTTCCAGTGAAAAGTCTCTGGGGCAAGAGGAACACAATCTTATGGGAAGGGCCCTAAAAATGGTTTAAGAGCAAGACTCAGAGTCAGAATATTAAAATTTAAATTCTGGATCTGCCTCTTCTTAGCAGTACCTTCCTGGGCAAATCACTCAAACTGGTGGTTCCCAAACTGTGTGCTAAGATGCCCCAGCACACCACATTGAACTCAGAGGGGTGCCTCAGGATATTTAAAATTTCAAAGATAGTAAACAGAGTGAAACTCAACATCTGTCAGACACCACATGAACTGCCAGTGAGGTATCTCACACTTTCAACCTAAGATTGCACTCTAATCCTTTCAATGAAGCCAATAGTATATGAAAACAAATGTGGAACAGAAAATGGGGGTAGTGGTGTCCAATCCAATTTTGAGGCATGAGAAGCTGCACAGTGGCCAACACATGTATGACCCACAAGTGTGTTAAAAATGAAATAAAAATTAAAATGCTTTCTCTCAATTTATGTGTATTATATTTTTTCAAACAGTGAATTAGCTGTTGGGGCATAAATATTTAAGTTGTTGGGACCTAATTATTTATAAATGGAATAACTAGATACTTCTTTTGGCCTAGGGGAACCATGAACAAATTATTCAGACACAAAGGGAGATGTGAACGAAGGTTTAAAACCATCTGAGCCTTGCATTCTCATCTGTACAATGAAGAAACTTGCCCCACCTATCCCTGTGATTGTTGAAGAGAGACTGGGATACTGTATGTAATGGATGTTTTTTGCTGCCTACCCAACGTCCATTCTCCACTCTTTCCATCCTGATAGGACCTGGATTAGATTCCAGAATCCACCCCTTCCTCACACACCCATGTGCTTCCAGCTAGCTGAGTCCAGGGGCGCTCCAGGAGCAGGCTGGTTTTATCTAAGGACAACCCTACCTTCTCTGATAAAGACTGGCGTAGGACTGGCCTATGCCTTAACTCCATCAAAAGAGACACAAGATTTGCTGATGGTTCCCGAGACCATCTCTTCTTCTGGATGTCCCTGTGTGTGGATATGAGATCTAGAGCTTGTTACCAGGCTGAGGATAAAGTGAACATATGGAGGATGGCAACTTGACAAGCCACAAGAATGCAGGGAAATAGGGTCTGGGTGACTGGATTCAGGCAACCCTAAAATCCTTCTGGATTCGAGGTATGTGAGTCAAAACATTTCATATTTTGGATACTGTTACTGCCAGTTGAAGGCATCCTGATGTGACATAGGTAAAAGTATTTTGCAAATTATAAAGTACAATGTAATTGTGACTGAAGCCAAGAATGTGCTTGGAGGAGTGATGTGAATACAAAGAGGCCTGGATACAGCCAGTCATCTTGTTCCATGTGATTTATTTATCACCATACAGTTGGTAGCATCTCATCACTTCCTACATTGTAGGATAAATAGAAAGTGCAAATCAGTGTATATTCAACTATACATTCAAGAATAAAATTCCTATTTACTCAAGAATATAATTTGTCTTTCATTAGAATTTGCCATTTTCAATTTCCTGCTTCTCCTCCATCCTCCTTATAGCCTCCTATGTTCTTTTCACCTGCCCCCTTGCCTATTCCTAAGTCTACAGTTTGTCAAAAGATAACAAAAGAGAAGTGTAGCATTTCCCGCACAAGGTCTTAGACTCTTCAGAAGAAAAGTATGGGTCACTAACAAAGGCTATTATTAACCTTATTTACATACCTGTATTCCTTAAAAAGTTTATACCCTACAAAAACCAATTTTTCATTCAACATTTGATATGAAGTAAATTAATCACAGAAATCAGTATTTTGAGCTAGCCCATCTGTTTATTTGCAGATTTTTGCCAACTGGCTCTTATCCTTTCCCTCATCAACCCTTCAACAGTTATTTTTTGAGTACCTATTATGACAGTAACAAAGGGAAAAAGACTTGGTTCATATCCATTAGGACAGTGCTACTCAAAGTGTGGGCTTTGAACCAGCAGCATGATAATCACCTGGAAGCTTGGCAAAAATGCAAATTCATGGGTCTGGCCCTAGACATACTGCATGAGAATCTCTAGGGGTGGGCCTAGGAATCTGTATTTTAACAGTATCTCCAGATGATTCTTCTGTGTGCTAGAGCAACTACTCTAGGAGCTTATGACCTAGTGAAGAGTTCTGTAAACTACATTAAAAGCAATGACTATCCTTGGAGATATGTACAAAGTGCAATGGAAACATAGGAAGGGCCCCTTAGAACTAAAACTTACTGAGCACTTAGGATATTCCAGGCATATGATAGGCCTTGTCTTAGCATAGTGATTGAGTGATATTTGAACGCAAGACCTTTCTGACTCCAAATTTCACAATCACTGTATAAAACTGCCCTAGGGCTGAAAGTTTTGCAAAGAAGGCTGTGTTTGAGCCAAGTCTCAATTTGCTAAATCAACAACCTGGAGCAAAAGGGACTAGGAGTATTGTTAGTCCTGCTAAATGTTACAGTACGGAAAGGAATGGAAGCAAGAGAGACCATCACATAATTAGGAACTTAAGGCAGTCCAATGTAAAGTGCCGGGGAGCAGCGAGTGTGGATGGGACTAGACAGCTAGGGAGAAGTCTTGTTATAAATAAAGGGTTGATATGCCATATAAATGGATTTATATTTTGTTATATAGAAAAAAGAGAGGACCATTGAGGAATTTTACAGGACTGAAAGACCAGTTTGGTGTGATAAAGATTACCAGTAGAGTAACATGATACAAAAAAAATGAAGGCAATAATACTGGAGGTCAAAAGTCAGGTAGGCAAGCTGAGCAGTAGGCCGTGGTGGAGATAATAGGGGCCTGAATGAAGGCACAAAGGGTGTTGGGCAGAGGGGACTGGTACGGAGCTAGGAAGATGGAACTGACAGCACTTCACTATTGAGATTCACTTCTTTAATAAATATTTACAAAGTTTCCACTATGGGCCAGGTGCTGTTCTTGGAACTGGGGATTTAGCAGTGACTAAAACCCACAAAGTCCTTCATAAAGCTTTCATTCTAGTGTGCCTTGGTTAAGAGGGCTGGGGCTATTCAGTATAATGTCAGTAATGATACATGACGTGAAGGAAAACAAAACGGGTGAGGTGAGAGTGAGTGATGAAGTGGCTGCCATTCTAGGGAGGGGTCAGGAAAGGGTGCTCCATAAGGTGACATTTGGGCAGTGGCCTGAATAAAGTGAGGGATAAGCCATGGATCTACTGGGGCAGAGGCGGACATGATGGGAATGGAGGCTGGAGACTGGTAAGTTGAGGAAGAGTCTAGAAGGACTTCCAAAAAGATGGCAATTTACTGAGAAAGAGATGTGGGTGGGTGATGTTAAGAGGCAGCCACAAAGAGAAGCGGGGCTCTCAGTATGGTGGTCTAGATGGAGACTGGGGATTATTTGAAGAAAATATCAAGAACATTTTCTAAAATTCCAATTCAGATACTGGCTGAATGATTTTATCACATAAAAAGGATCAGACTTTTTTTTTTTTTTTTAAAGATTTTATTTATTTATTTGACTGAGAGAGACAGCAAGAGAGGGAACACAAACAGGGGGAGTGGGAGAGGGAGAAGCAGGCTTCCCGCTGAGCAGGGAGCCTGATGTGGGGCTCCATCCCAGGACCCTGGGATCATGACCTGAGCCGAAGGCAGATGCTTAACGACTGAGCCACCCAGGCACCCTGGATCAAACTTTTCTAAGGACTTCATTTTGGTAAACAGTAGAGCCAAAGTTATTACAATGAGCCACAAAATGCTTTTTAAGTGCTATTTATTTATTTATTTTTTTTAAGATTTTATTTATTTGAGAGAGAGAGAATGAGAGACAGAGAGCACGAGAGGGAGGAGGGTCAGAGGGAGAAGCAGACTCCCTGCCGAGCAGGGAGCCCGATGCGGGACTCGATCCCAGGACCCCGGGATCATGACCTGAGCCGAAGGCAGTCGCTTAACCAACTGAGCCACCCAGGCGCCCAAGAAAGCCCTTTAAATAGCACTTAAAGGGCGCCTGGGTGGCTCAGTTGGTTAAGCGACTGCCTTCGGCTCAGGTCATGATCCCGGGGTCCTGGGATCGAGTCCCGCATCGGGCTCCCTGCTCGGCAGGGAGCCTGCTTCTCCATCTCCCACTCCCCCTTCTTGTGTTCCCTCTCTCGCTGTGTCTCTCTCTGTCAAATAAAAAAAAAAAAAAAAAGGGGGCTTTCTTGAAAGCTTTCCACAAACTTAAAAGCATAAGCAAACTTTAGGGAGGGGAAGGCTTTATTTAATAAAAAGCATTATATTTATTCATTTAAGGTACACCATTAACATTTTAATTTTTTTTTAAAGATTTTATTTATTTATTTGAGAGAGAGCAAGAGAGAATGAGGGAGACAGAGCGTGCACGCACATGGTGCACACAGAGGGAGAAGCAGACTCCCTGCTGAGCAGGGAGCCGGGTGCAGGGCCTGATCCCAGGACCCTGAGATCATGACCTGAACCAAAGGCAAACGCTTAACTGACTAAGCCACCCAGGTGCCCTATTAACATTTTAATATTAAAAATATAATCTATCAAATAAATCGAAAGGCAGAAAAACTGTCACAATTTGATACTGGTAAACTAAAAACATTCCTAAATCAAAAGCCATGATGTTAACCATTTTCAGAATTCTATCATTACTGTGTAATCAGTCTTGTTTCTTGATTGGAATAGCTGGTCCACTGTGATACTGTTCCTTCATGTTTCCACACTTAGAATTTTATGTATTCTTCTGTACTGAACATGCAATATTCAAATTCATTTGAGCTACGAGGCCTGGGACTTAGAGATTAGCTCTTGGCTTATTACTTTCAATAATTTTATCTGAGGTAAGCTGATTGATCTCTACCTGGCTAAACCCAAATTCTCTAAGTATCTCTTCAGTATGTTCTCCTACAAAAGGATTCCTTTTGGAAGAAGGGGTAGCTGGGGTGTCTGACAGCAGAGGTGCAGGGCGGGGACTCACCCCATGCTCCTCTTCAGTGATAAACGAGCCCCGTTCTTTGTTATGATCATGGTGGGCAGCTTCTTCAAACGTCAGAACTGGAGTCACGCATGCATCTGTGCCATCGAAGATCTGACACCACTCTGCCTTTGTCTTCTTTGCAAATACATCTGCAAATCTCTTCTTCATTTCTGGCCAATCACTCATGCTCATCTGATGAGGAAGCTCATCAGACTTTAGCCCAAGTCCTGAGATAAAAACACAATTTCTTAAAATTTTAAGCTTTGGGTGGAGTGATTATAATCAAGGAAAATGCATTTTGACCTCACCATACCGTCCCAAACAGGATGTTCTGTAAGATTTCTCAACTGGGTCAAGAGAGGAAATTCAAACTCAACTTGAAGTTGGAGCCAATGGCTAGAGGTAAGCGGGTAGCAGGACTCCAAACAGACTTCCCACTGGCAAGATTTTATTATTTATATTTCATCAAAAGTAGTCTATTTGTAAAGGTCTAGTTTCCAGAAATTGATTTTTTCCCCAGAGTAAGTTTTCAAAAATAAATTTCCTCATGATGCTATTATCTGTCATACTGAATTCAAACAACCCCACATTTTATATAGTGTACCCAAACCCTACAAAAAATAAAATTTAAATAACTTGACACACAATTATCCCATTTTTTAAGAAAACTGAAGGTAAATGATTAAATTCAAAATTGCAATTTTATATATAATATTCACCTCTCTTTATTTTGGTCAAATAAAAGAGCTCTAGTAGGACGGATGTGTGACTCATTACCCTCTTAGAACACTGCTGTGAACTAGAAACAGAGGCTTTGTAAGATAACCAGAGACACACGCAACAAATTATTCCTACAGCAAACATGACAGAAAGTGATCACCCAGCCAAATCATGAGTGAGGCACACAGACTTTTGTGTCAAGCATGAAGGAGACCGTGAAGGGCCCATCAACACACGGTGCAGAAAAGATGAAAGCATCCAGCTGCGGATTTAACAGAAAGGATGGCTTCTTGGGCCCGTGACCTGATCTATGCCTCCTTTACAGACTAAAGCTATAAAGCATCTGCACCCCTGCAGATGCACCTGAACTCCAGAGCGGACTGAATTATACCCAAAAGGCCACTTTACTAGGGTTTGGTGTAAATGTCATGTTTACTCCCTCATGGAAGAGGGTTTTTCAGTGTAGACGGTGAGAGTGGAATAATAATGAAAGGCCCTTCTGCTTACGCATGTTATTTTGCATAAGTTTAGTCAAGTTAATCTAATAATTATCACTTTTATCATCCTTTCCTTCCCTATCATGTAGAAGAACAATGACTAATTGTAAACTGCTCTGAAGAGGAAAATCCCTCAAGAGGTAAGAAGACATGAATACCGAAAGCCATTCTTAGGGTTCTGAGGTATATAAGGAAATAAGGAGAACTCATACAGTTCTGGACAGTTGTGAAAAGACAACTGTGGGATACACAAATAAATTTTTCTCTGTAGCCACTTGTCCCATTCAAATACCAGGAAAAACATGGAGCCATAACTTCAGGTTTATCACTATAATCTACCCCAAAAAATGTTTCTAAGGATGTCTTTTACTTAGCTTTCTTCTTCCTGATTGCCCCAAACTCTGTGATTAAAAAACAAATAAAATGACCAGTTAGCCAAAAATAGTGATATAGATCATAGCTACTACTAGAAACATTTGCATGCTTTATTTTTTTAATTTTTTTTTAAGGATTTTATTTATTTATTTGAGAGAGAAAGACAGAGAGCATGAGAGAGAGCGAACACGAGCAGGGGGAAGGGCAGAGGGAGAGAGAGAAGCAGGCACCCCCTTGAGCAGGAAGCCCAACTTGGGGCTCAATCATAGGACCCTGAGATCATGACCTGAGCGGAAGGCAGACGCTTAACCAACTGAGCCACCGAGGTGCCCCTGCATGCTTTTTCATTCAGAATGTGATCAGAATCCTAACACTAAATAAAACTGGATCCAATATGTTCTCTCTGTAACAGACATTATATTTAAGATCAATGGTCTCACAAGCTATAGTTTGTATACTGGAAAAATACTAGAAATCAAAGGACCCCAGCTCCTACTCCTAATTCTGACACCCCAGCTCTTCAACTGTCTTCTCATCCTTTCTCAGCCCACAGTTTCCCATCCTGCCCAGGACCCTGATCAAGGCCACAGGATTAGCCACCAAAAGTTTACGATAGGCTGTTTCCTGTGCTCTTGACATTCCTGTATGGAACTCTAAAACCACTCCCCCACATAAATACAACTGTAGATGGTAGCTAGTTTTTATAGCATAACCAATATTAAATTTCTGGTATTTTAAGTCAAACATTTCAAGGACTGGTCTGTAGACTCAGACACTATTTAAAACTTGGGAAAGTATGTTTTAATTTCCAAAAAGCTACCTTAAATACACATATACATACACACAGGCGATTATACAAAATACTTATTATTTTAAGTATGTGTCATAAACTTTACTGCTCTGTGACACAATATCTGGCAAATATGAAGCAGTCAAAAATTCATGTTGTAAGCATGCAATGTTCTATGTACAAAGATTAATGTTTATTAATAAATAATGTTTTAGTACAGGGACACCATACAATATCATATGGCTGCTATATATATCATGAGGCAGATTTTTTGGATTGACAAGAAAGGACATCTTTAGTATACTGTTGAATAAAAAAAATAGCTATTAACTACAAATTTACATGATTATATACTGTATATAAATATAATTTATAAATAAATAAAACAATTGTGTTGATATGTACACAGAAAAAGTTCATGAAAGCCACATCCCAAACTTTCCCAGAGTGGAAGGACAGAGAGAATTTTTACTTCTTATTTTACAAATTCTGTATTATACTTTTTTCTAAAACACACATTATTTTGAATTATTTTTCATTTTTTAAAAATTGTCATAGCATAACATTTATAGTAATTCTGTTTTAAGTTTCTGAGTAACTGCCACACAGCTTTTTACAGCGGCTAAATAATTTTTACATTCCCACCAGTAACGCACAGGCCTACAGTTTCTCCCACAACCCTGGCAACACTTGCCGTCTGCTTTCCTTTTAATAATATTTTGAAGTTTTAGAACTACTTTAAAAAAATTCTCTAGTGCTGGGGCGCCTGGGTGGCTCAGTTGGTTAAGCGACTGCCTTCGGCTCAGGTCATGGTCCCGGGGTCCTGGGATCGAGTCCCACATCGGGCTCCCTGCTCGGCGGGGAGTCTGCTTCTCCCTCTCCCCCTGCTTGTGTTCCTGCTCTCGCTGTCTCTGTCTCTGTCAAATAAATAAATAAAATCTTTAAAAAAAATAAAAAAATAAAAAAATAAAAATAAATAAATAAATAAATTCTCTAGTGCTTACTGATTATACTACAAGAGTCTTGTTATCCCAAAATGTCATGAAATTCTGTGTTTTCAGATTTCTTTGCCCCAGAAAGCAGCAGTAGAATCTGTACCTTGCAAGAACCTTGTGTATTTATGTTCAGACACTGAAGAGTTCAATGAAGTATGGTCTCAAGATCTCAAATATAAGGTAAAATAAATGAGGTACATAATTAACACTACCTAAAAAAATCATTATGGATATGGCCATTGGTCCAGTTGGGACCTGAGAGAGAAGTAATGTACATGTGATTAGTAAAAGTACTATTTTTGTAAATAAATACTGTAAAAGAAAGAAAATGCTGAGGCATTTTGGCATGGACTGTGTAGATTAGCCAAAGCTGATTGAACATGCTAAGTCAGCCTGAACCACAAACCACCTATCAGCTAAGGATCCCTAGTGAACTTTGAAGGGAGAGAGGAGGTTAAGGATACCATAAAAGGCTGTAGATGCAAAGAGAGGAGGCTATAAAAAAAATCAGGGTGGTTACAGAGTTTAGACTTAGAAAGAGAAAATCTAGAAGGTGGTCAGAAGTTGAACGGCTGGAACAATTAGCCTGCTAGAAAAATATCCCATTTCATTTTCAGTGTTTCCAGAAAAACTCATTCATTGTGGTGGAGTGTGAATGTTA